TCATTGGAAAATACAGTCTGCCACAAATGGACGTAAATGAAAGTCTCCTCATAGATAGTTAAGGTAAAATGAACTGTGTCCAAGGATATGTCTAGGCACATCACTCTTGACAGATAAAACCGAAAGCTCTGAGCTTCTTTTGCTAAAGGCTGCTTGAGTGTGGCCATCAGTCATCAGGAAAGAAAGAAGCTGAATAAGTGCTGGGGTTCATGAATACCCTGAGTTAACTCTTACTGCAAAGCAGGGAGGGAGCAGGTAATGAGGAAACCTAGCTCCATGCCAAACCTCTTGACACTGAATCCTCACAGCCACTGTAAAGGTTAGGTGGATTATTATCCATGTTTTATAAGTGTAGGAAATTACATTTTGGTAATTTGCAAAACCAGAACCTGAACCCAGATTTGGGGCTTCACATCCAGTGTGCTTTTAATACCATCAAGTGAGCTTTCCCCACTTTAGCAGCAAGGCAGCAAACCAACCCATTTCCTTTTCCTTTGTAAGGCAACTCCTTAGGTTCCTTTTAGGGAGGTTTTTCTTGTCCAAGGGATCTGGAGAGCACCGGGCTCCCAGCGTGATTTAGATGCAACTTAAGTCCCTGAGGTGTAAACTTGTTCAATTACATACTTAACTTGTAAGCATAATGGCAGGGCCTTTTTTTTTTTTTTTTTTTTTTAACCCCATGAGAAGTTTATAGAAAGACTGATGGGATTCAAGTGATCAGAAAGTACTTTTCTTTCTTTTTCTTTCTTTCTTTTTTTTTTCTTTTTTTTTTTTTTTTTTTTGAGACAGAGTCTCACTCTCTTGCTCAGGCTGGAGTGCAGTGGTGTGATCTCAGCTCACTGCAACCTCCGCCTCCTGGGTTCAAGCGAGTCTCCTGCCTCAGCCTCCCAAATAGCTGGGACTACAGGTGCGTGCCAGCACATCCAGCTAATTTTTTTTTTTTTTTGAGACAGAGTCTCACTCTGTGGCCCAGGCTGGAGTGCAGTAGCATGATCTCCGCTCACTGCAAGCTCTGCCTCCTGGGGTTCAAGCAATTCTCCTGCCTCAGCCTCCCGAGTAGCTGGGACTACAGGTGCCCACCACTGAGCCTGGCTAATTTTTTTTGTACTTTTTAGTAGAGATGGGGTTTCACCATGCTGTCCAGGCTGGTTTTGAACTCCTGAGCTCAGGCAATCCTCCCGCCTCAGCCTCCCAAAGTACTAGGATTACAGGCGTAAGCCACCACTCCCGGCCTAATTTTTTGTATTTTTAGCAGAGATGGTGGTTTCACCATATTGGCCAGGCTGGTCTCGAACCCTGAATTGTGATCTGCCCACCTTGGCCTCTCAAAGTGCTGGGATTACAGGCATGGGCCATCGCGCCTGGCCAGGAAGTACTTTTCTAATAAATGATGGTATGGCTGAGAAATATTTACAGAAACGGAAAAATACAATATTATTTAAATAATGTAAGTCACTGTAAGAACTGAGACACACCAGCTTAATTTACTCTGACTTTGTTTATCCATTCGTAAAGTATATTCAGTAGTTACATAGCACATGAACAAGTTAAATAAGATACTCAAGTGCAGTGCTTCATTGTCTCTGAATGAAATATACCAGGAAAAAACAATGACAAAAGACATTGTGATTTTCTCTGGAATTTCTCATGTAAGATGAAAAATAGAGGCATATATAATCTACCTGTATAAATTTATTTCTCTATAGCTGGCCTATTCCCCAAAGGATACATGGCTTATAAAATGCACAAAATACAATAGAAGGAAACAAACATAAGTAAGTAAAATCAGGAACAGGTCAAATATAAATTTGAATCCAAGGTTAAGACTGGAGAAAAGCAGAATGCAGACAGGTATGTCCTACTGAGTTATTAAAGTCGAGTTGCAAATTTGGCTCTGGGCTTCCTAGAGGCTAAACAGCTAGAAATTAATGGATAGACTAACAGATTTTGATATGTTATCAGTGGGAAAAATGTATTTTCCATTAGCCGTCTAATTCTTTAATACTTCACACTAAACATCCTTTGCAGATAAAGTTTAAATATGGAAATTTTGTGCAAAATAAAGGGTTTGCTAATTAGAAGGAAATGTATAAAGAAGCATGTTTACAAAAGTGTTTCTCATTATGAAAACCGATGGTTTCAAAAAACATATTATGATAAGGAAGAGAGTTTCAAAGTGTTCCCAGGTTAATCGGGGGAAAAGTAACTAAAAGCCTGCTGCTTTGAAGGTTTAATCCAAGATGCTTATCCAACCTCTCTGTTGAACAAATCTTGCAAATAAGGCCTTCTCAGAAGATTCACAGCATATTCTGTGGGAGCTTGAAATGTCAGCAGAACAGGCTTTCTGATGATATTATGCAGGCATAACATCCTAACAGCTGGGGTGAGGGTGGAAGAGGAAGATAGCAAAATTCTTTCATTGCCTGGTTCTTCTGCTGTGCTACATAACAGCTTTTCTGGCAGTGACGATAGGCATAACTTAAAGAGAAAACAAAACAAATAAACAAAAGAAAGAAAACAAGAAAGCTTGACAAGAGCCCGCCACACAAATCCTTAACAGAAATCCTTGACAATTACAGGTGTTAACAAAACATTTCAAAAGATGATAGAATTATGACTCTCATTCAGATAAAAAACAAACGCATGATAAAGATTTTATTTAACTCCTTGTTAAGGAAAGAACCAGAGAAATGTTACCATCAGCTCGAAGGAGAATCCAAAGAGCAGATACATTTATAGATCAGTAATACTGAAATGAACTTTAAAATGTACCTCTAAGTGGCATTTCCATGGAGGAGGAGGGCTCTTCCTCCACCAGACAATTCAGCTGTATGCCCATAGACATTATGGTTTGCTTTGTCATCAATTACACAATAGCTCAAAGCTAATGAAAGGCTAGAATTAGATACACCTGGAAAGGTATCTCTAAATGAGGCACCGTTTTCCAATGGAAATACCTAGGAATCTTATTTGTTTGCTCTGAATTTCCTTATTCTGGTAAGTAAATCTGACCTCCATCCTGGACACCCCACTGGTACTAGTGAGACAGCCATGTTGGAGGGGTCTCTGGAGAAACTCCAACTAGCCTGCCCACTGGGGTGCAGCTCGGGAAGTTCCCAGTTTGCAGCACGGAAGAGCCTGGCCCCTCCTCTTCCTGTGTGGAGCTTGGGATTCAAACTGCTGGGCGGGAAGCATGCGAGCTGAGGGACTCGGGCCTTGTGAGAGTTCCTGTTTCCCCCCTTTTTTTCCCTTTTCACCCAATAAAATCCTGCTTTACTCACCCTTTAAACCATCTGCAAGCCTAAATTTTCATGCCCGTGGGACAGACAAGAACCCCGACTTTGGCTGAACTAAGGAAAAGTTCTGCAACATTTTTTTTTTTGAACATTGAAAAGCAAGTTTTTATTTATTTACTTATTTTTAGAGACAAGATCTCACTATGTTGCCAACGCTGGTCTCAAACTCCTGGGCTCAAGGATCCTCCTCATCCTCTCAACTACTGAGACTATAGATGCCCACCACTGTGTTGGGTCTTTTTAAATTTAAAATTTTAAGGGAAGCACAAAGTTTATTAGTTTCAGAGAAAGTCAAATGACGTACATGGGGGATATTCATGAGTTATCCCATGAACATACAAAAATAAATGCCACTTTACCTCCTTTTTAAATTTAAACAGCTATAGGAACTTGCATTCTTGATTTTTTTTCAAATGTACACTTATTATTGACCGTAGTCACGCTGTTGTGCTATCAAATAGCAAGTCTTATTCATTCTTTCTAACCTATGATGGAACACTTTACTGTCTGCTATCCCACAATGATATTCACCCTTTTGTAACTGATCTTTTCCAAACCAGGCTTTCTCAATTTCACCATCCCCACCTCCCCACAGCACATCTGAGGCCCATTGAAACTAGGCCGCATAAAACTTAGAAACTAGGCCTCATAAGAAAAAGAACTTAAAAAAAATTAACACCAGGTGGCTCTGGATAAGGTCCCACCCTGCCTCAATAGGGTCCCACCCTGATAGGGTCCCACCCTGCCAATTCCGGGAAACAACCTCATAGGGTCCCACCCTGATAGGGTCCCACCCTGCCTCGAAGTTCCCGGAATCAACAACTCCAGGAAAAAACCTCATAAGGTCCTGCTCTAACCAATTAGAACAAGACACCTTGCTCAGGCCATAGACAGACCCAATTACCACACGCCCTAAGCTGTGTTTGAACTTGTGTTTGCCTATATAAACAGCCTGTAACAAGCAGTCGGGGTCCCAGGGTCAACTTAGAGCTTGGGACCCTAGCGCGCTAGTAATAAATAACTCTCTGCTGTGAATCTCATGTCGGTGATCCTTCGCAGCGACCCCTGCCCAGGAAGGAATCGACAGTTCGGTTCCAACACCATCTGCTGAATGGTTACACAGGCTGGGAAGGGCAGTGGGGGATTGAGGGGAGGTGGGGATGGTTGAACTCTCATGGGTTCAATTGTTTTCATTTTTAGCCCCCACAAATAAGTAAGAACATGCAATGTTTGTCTTTCTGTTCCTGGCTTATTTCGCTTAACATAATGATCTTCAGCTTCATCCACGAAGTCCTGCAACATTTTTGGTGCCCAATGTGAGGCTCAAGAAGCGGTAAGTGAAATGGGGAATCAAAACTGTTGCTTCCAAGCCTTTTCATCCTCGGACTTCCTAGGGTGGGGAAAGCATGCCCCTATCCCCTGTCGCTCCCAGGCCTTTTCATGGCCGTTCCTTCCTTTTTTTTTTTTTGAGACGGAGTCTGGCTCTGTCATCCAGGCTGAAGTGCAGTGGCCGGATCTCAGCTCACTGCAAGCTCCGCCTCCCGGGTTCATGCCATTCTCCTGCCTCAGCTTCCCGAGTAGCTGGGACTACAGGCGCCCGCCACCTCGCCTGGCTAGTTTTTTGTATCTTTTTAGTAGATACAGGGTTTCACCGTGTTAGCCAGGATGGTCTTGATCTCCTGACCTCGTGATCCGCCCATCTCGGCCTCCCAAAGTGCTGGGATTACAGGCTTGAGCCACCGTGCCCGGCCCATTCCTTCGTTTTTCAGGACTCCCTGGTGAGCAGCAGCTCCCCGCTCCCAAGCCGGGGCTGGGACACATGGCCCAAGGGTCCCGCACAGCAGGCTGGCTGGTTTCCAGCCACGCGCCACTGCGCAGCCTTCCCCTTCCCTCTCCAAGGGGTTTAACTCTATTAGACAGTAATTAAGCTTAAACTTTTCTCCCTGGTGGAGGAACCACTTGCATGAGAATAAGAGGTTGCTCCCCAGGTATATTTACACCTTTTTTTTTCCCTCTTTTCCGCCCCATCAGCAGCAAAACCTTTAAAGTTTTTTTTTCCTCCCTTTACTAGGCTAGGCCCCCCAACTATCACTCTTTATATTTTCTGTAAAGCTTTAATTGTGAAAAAGGATTTATGGGCTAGTCTTGGGCTGTGGCCAGTCTGGTGTGCTTTGCGTCTTTTTGTTTGCACCGCAAGCCTCCAGCATGGTTTACATCCTGGGGGCATGGCCAGTAACCACTTGGCAAGGCTTTGTTTAGCAACCGTGCCTTAGGGAGTGAGCCCTCTCTGGTTCCACATCAGCATGTTTTCCTATCCCTGTCTCTTAAAGAGCCCCGCACAGCGACTGGGTTTTCTCCTGTCTCTGTGCGCGTTGTGTGTAATGTCTGTAAAAAGAGCTCTAATTGGCCTAAAGAAAGACAAGTGCTTGGATCATGTATTTTTTTTTTTTAAGGGAAGTTAAAATCTGTGGTATCTTTCAGTTCACATGACTTTAATCTTTGAGAAATAAAAACAGCCTTAAAGACTATTGGTAAAATGCAGGTCAGATAAAAGGTTTGATAAGTGTTTTGAGGTTACAAACTGCTTTTTGGGTTTTGAGAACTATTTGACTTGCTGGCTTCACAATTGGTAAGGGGCTGGGGACATATGGAACTAATCACACCCTTAACTAAGAAGGCAAACTTGGCTGCAGTTAGCACACAATTAAAGCAACTTACCAAGTTTTACCTTAAAGTTAAAAATTGCCAGGTGTTACCGTTATAACATGTAATTGAGACCACTGGAAATAGATTTACAATCAACATGTGTAAAAACAGCAAAATGTGTTTTTGTGTGTGCTTTTTTTTTTGTTTGTTTATTTTTGTTTGTTTTTTTTTTGTTTGTTTGTTTTGGTAAAAGGTTGTAAGAAGGTGTAGAAATGTAAACTTTGGCCTAGGGTTAAAGGATTGTTTTGAGTTAGGAAAAGCTGAGGTTCAAAGAAATGGCGGAAGAATTGTGGAAATGAATCTTGCAGAAGAGGTTCTCTGTGTGAACATATTGACTACATTCAAAAAAGATATTACATTTTTTTTCTGTAAGTTGAGCATTGAAACAAAAGGACAACGTGCTCTTTGGCAAAATTTGTAAAGTGTTATAAAAGGTTTTTGCTTCTTTAAAATTTCTGAGTAATCATTTTGGTACAATAAATAACTCATGGTAATCTGGAATTCTATTTCATAATATTAAGTGTTTTAAACCTCGAACATTTAACAGCCTTCCCCAAATAAAACTTTAGTTTCAAAATTGTCTTCCTTGGCACCTGGCTTTTTGAATATTTCAGAGGGCCTCTGAAGTGTCCAGGAAAGAGAGGTACACAGGATTATTTGACATGTTTAGGTACACGGGAATGCCAAAATGATGCTCAGTCTTCTTTAGGTTATATCTTGGTGAATAATTCTATGTTCCAAAATTGTATGATATTTCTAAATTTCTAATGTCTGAGTATATGCTGTCAATCATAATTAAGTTTGTTATGTTAAGCTATTGAAACCAGAGATAACCAAACGTCTTTGTCAATTGTGTTTCTGACTGTAACTAAACTGAACATTTTGCATTCACAGACAATTGTCTTGTTTTAATCCTTTTCATAGATAGTCTATAATGAGCTATAGCACTTTAACAGGTGCTCTCAAATATAGGCTTCTGATAACTTTACAGATTGTAACATTGGAATAAAGGAAGATGTACAGTACTAATGAAGAGCTGAAATGTTTATGAATATCAAGCAAAACAAGAGTTAACTAAATGGACTGAACTCAGGAAGCTGAAGCAATCTTTTTAACCTTTGCCTGGAATATTGCAGATCCTTGTTTTGTTTTTCAGAGTTAAGGAAAGTTATTTTGAGCTATTTATGGCTTTTAATAATTAAGCAAGGTATACTCCTATGATCAAAATTTGGAGCATGTTTGTTTCTCTCTGCCTGGTTCCTCTGAGAATTTGGAAACTATCTGTGAGCATTCTTAACTTGAGGCAATACAGGTGTTTGCATCAGTGCAGTAAGAATCCATTTTGCTTTTGCAACAGGATATGATTGGAGAAAATGGTTATTTTACCAAGGCTTTGATTGGAAGGGTATGTTTCCTTTTAAGGAGTCAGTATTAACTTGCAGAGCCAATAAAAGCCCATGGGGAAACTGGCTTCCTACCCTTGTCTTTGCAGTCCCCATACAGGGTTCCTGGCTTGTGGTCAGTAAAGAATGTCACTTTCTAACAGGTCTAGGAGCTCCCAGTTTATCTTGGGACCTTAAGAGGAAAGGATTACCCAACTCACAGGTGTTTGAGGATACAAACTCATGGTTGGGCTTGGCTTTAAAAGGTCTTATCAGAGATTCTTTGTGGAACAAACTTCCATCAAAGCCAATCCAAAAGGCCTATATAGAAACAATTATTCTCGCTGCACTTTATGCAAACAATCAGGCCAAGAATAAGACTATAAAGGCTGTTTTGCAAACCATTCAGTCCTATGATGATTTTTTTTTTTTTTTAGCAAAAATGAGGGCTGGAGAGAGAGATCATGTTTCAAAACTTACACATTTGTGATTAAATTCTAAACTAATTAGTTGTTTTTAAGTTTTTGCCTACATTTTAACTCTGCTTGTTCCTGTGAACCAACCAGCAATCTTCAGCTGCAGCTCAGAAAGAACCAGAGGGATGGGTAATGTAGAAATCTGGATCACTATTCTAGTTCCCAGTGATTATCTTGCAAATCCTGCCAGGTGAGGGAATAAATAGGGTGCCCATCACCCAGAAGTTTTCTTTTTGGGAAAGTAAAACCAGGTGAGCTAATTGAAGTCAAGCATCATGACCCAAATCCTAGCAAGCATCACTATAGCCACCAGTTACATGGGTGTGCCACGAGACATCCTTTCTCTCCCTTGTTGGAGGAGGACTCTGTTCCACAGTTTCACCTTAGCATCTGGCTTCTAATAAGGAGTCCATGCAACCGCCTGCGACACATTTTTGTCCCTGACTCAATTCCAAGCTTCAGGTCAGAGCCCTAGAAAAGAAAACTGGATCTGAGGGATCAAGAGGCAGACGATAACGGAAGTTAAAAGGCAAAGCACAGGTGAGCATGGCCAATTCCTGCCGATTAAGCCAAACCCAAGCTTCCTGTTTCATGGATAAAGGCCATGTTAATATCCATGGCATAAATGGGGTCTAGGGAACTCCCAGGCTACTGAAAGTAGGTTGGAAAGAACCATAGGTGAGAGCAGATAATTCCTGTTCTCTGGGCCCTCCCTGCTTCATGGGTGCAAGTCACTTTGACACCCATGGTGGCACCTGCCAAGGTCACCGGGACTCGGGGATGCAAGGATGGAAGAGGGAATGAGGAAGCTCTTCCTTCTCTCCCACACATACCCTGAGTATCTGCTAGGAAGAGAAGGGAACCAGGGATGCCTGCGCCTCTCTTTCTAGATGGGTAGCCATTCATCTTCAGTCTGTACTCCTTTTGAATGCATCCTGAACCCTTGAGACTCTTTTAAAAAAAAAAGTCTCCTTTTTTCTTTCTTCTCGGTTCCCTCTTCACTAATAGGTAATTGTGACTCCATGCTATGGGACACCCCCCTCAGATGCATCCTCCAAACTAGAAAGAGTTAATTTCCCAAACCTTAAACTGCTTGGCTTGGGATTAGGTTCAGAGGAAGGGAGCCCAGAAGGTCAACATGCCTGCAAAAGGATAAAGTATTTTTGCCATTCAGGCTTGTGGCCTCCCCTTCCCTGTGCAAACTGGTAAAAGGCCTTGGAATTTTTTGAGCTGTCCTACCCCTCCCCTTATTTTGTTTTGACACATGTTTTCTGATAACTTGGTTTGTCTGTTCTTGTCTTCAGGCCATCAAACTCCAAACAGTCATGCAACTGGAGCCTCTGAGGATGGCCCCTTCAGCCGGGAACCCTGAGATCAGCCTCTAGAGAAGCTTTGATGGCTGTTTCCCCAAAACAGCACCTTCTGCCATCAGGAAGCAGTTAAGATTGACTTTCATCCTTATCCTTAATCTAATGGCAGTTAGATGTACTTCTTTAGAGAGGGAATGAGGCGGCCAGGTGGGAGGGGGTCCCTGGAGAAACTCCAACCAGCTGCCTACTGAGGTGGAGTCTTGGGGAGTTCATGCTGTTTGTAGCAGGGAGGAGCCTGCCCCCTCCTTTTCCTGTGTGGAGCTTGGGACTCAAACTGCCAGGTGGGAATTGCTCTAGCAGAGGGACTGTGACCTAGTGAGAGTCCCTGTTTTCCCCTTTTTTCCCTTTTCACCCAATAAAACCCTGCTTTGCTCACCCTTTAAACCATCTGCAAGCCTAAATTTTTGTGGCTGTGGAACAAACAAGAACCCCGTCTTTAGCTGAACTAAGGAAAATCCTGGAACACTAGCAGGGCTGACCTTTGGGGCATTTTGAAGACTACTGTGTTCTTTTTTGTTTGTTTGTTTTTGAAATGGAGTCTTGCTCCGTTGCCCAGGCTGGAGTGTAGTGCACTGCAACCTCTGCCTCCCAGGTTCAAACAATTCTCCTGCCTCAGCTTCCGGAGTAGGTGGGATTGCAGGCATGCACTACCATGCCCGCCTAATTTTTGTATTTTTAGTAGAGATGGGGTTTCGCCATTTTGGCCAGGCTGGTCTCAAACTCCTAACCTCAGGTGATCCACTCACCTTGGCCTCCCAAAGTGCTAGGATTACAGGCGTGAGCCACCAATTGTGTTCTTTATCATACTTCCTGGGATTCAGAAATGAAGCAGTAGCCTTCAGTCTTGAAGGAAACAAAATAAGGGGTCCTGGTCAGAGTCCTGTTGTCCGTGGAACCTCATGATCTGCCCTAATAACACATCTTTGGATGTGTTTCTGGCTTTACCCTAAGACTTAGGCATTTGATGAATAGATGGGATCTGAGAATGTGCAGATCTCATCAACATCAATAAGTCTGTCTTGTTTTCAGCCCTGTTGTATAAGTGTCAGTTTGCACTACAAGAACAGTTACTGAATGCCACAGTTTCAAAACATTGCACTAGTCATAATTTTAAGAACTCAGCAAACAAAATTAACCAGACCTTTTTTCTTTCTCTCCCTCCGTCCGTCCCTCCCTTCCTTCCCTCCCTCCCCTTCCCCTTTCTTCTGATGTCAGAGATTGGCTACCTGTCTTCCTGGCTTCCTTTGTAGTGGGGGTAGCCATGTGGCTGAATTCTGGCCAAAGCCTTCCAGGACCATTTCTCCTTCCCACTCCCTGCCAGCTGGATGCAGAGGACTCCAAGATACATGGGAGGATGGAGATCTATTTTGAATAGAGCTTGGGTCCCTCAATGATCATAGGCTTTTGGCCTGAGTGAGAAATGAACATATATTATATTAAGCCTTTGATTTTTGTGATTTATTTTCAATAGCATCTAGCATTACCTTAATGAATAAACATCTTCAATTTCTGTTGAATTTAGAATTTAAAAAAATAGGCAGTATAGTCACATTGCTCAAAAATCAAAACAATATAAAAACCGTACATTGACAGTCTCACTTCCACTCTATTCTGTCCACCCTGCTCCATGCTCTCGTTTCCCAGCCCTATGGTGAACTACTAAGCTTCTTGGATCTCTTTCCAATGTTTGTTTATGCATATAAGACAAAAAGTATATGTAAATAATATATATGAATGTATTCTTTCCTTCATAGCTCAAAGGTAGCATACTATTCAAACTGTTTTGTATTTTGCTTCTTTCACATGACAAAATCTCCCGATGACCTTTCCATTGTGGTATATAAAAGACTTCTCAGTCTTTCATAGTTGCGTAGTATTTCATTGGGTAAAGTATAGATTATTTACCAGTCATCTATTGATGGACATTTGTCAACCCATCTCCTTGAAAGTAGTTATGTAATTGGAATAAATCATTTTCAGTTTAGGATAAGCCCGGTCCTAGTTGACTGCAGATCCTAGGCACTACCCCACCTTCTTTAGGTAGAGACAGGTACTTGGAAGAGTCTTTTCCTTATTCACAAAAGGCAACAATATAAGGCATGAAGTGGGAGTCAGATAACCAAAATAAAGTGAGGGTGAGGTTGAATGGACTTGCCCTCATCACACCAGATGGCAGGAGAAAGACACGCCACCTCTTTCAGCTGTCTCCACGTAGTATCTGTCAACAGAGCATTACAATTGTATTTGTACTCCAAGGCCCTATTTATCCTATCTCTAGTGAAACATCACTTTTGAGATCATCACTAATTTACATGTCAGAACCAACTCTTTCAGCCTCTAGCCCTCGTTGGTGAAGGAACAAAAAGTATACTGATTTTATTGCCAGTTTAAGAATTTGGGCTGCGCACAGTGGCTCACGCCTGTAATCCCAGCACTTTGGGGAGGCCATAGTGGGTGGATCATGAGGTCAGGAGTTCAATACCAGCCTGGCCAACATGGTGAAACTCTTTCTCTACTAAAAATACAAAAAATTAGCTGAATGTGGTGGCACGTGCCTGTAGTCCCAGCTACTCAGGAGGCTGAAGCAGGAGAATCGCTTGAACCCAGGAGGTGGAGGTTGCAGTGAGCTGAGATCACGCCACTGCACTCCAGCCTGGGTGACAAAGCAAGACTCTGTCTCAAAAAAAAAAAAAAAAAAAAAAAAAAAGAATGTATAGCTCAGGGCTCAGGATCTCCACTCTATCTTCTCTCTCTGCCTCTTTCACAGCTTCTCCAGAACGTCTAAAACTAGACTCTGCACCCTCATCTTCCTATATCTTCCAGAATCAAAGTCAAGGAGCCATTGCTGAGTGTCATAAACCCTAAAGGCCAGAAACAAGTCTTATAGATTCTTTCTTCACAATGTTCCTCACATGGCGGAGGAGGAGGAGGCATGATTTGAACATAGCTTTGTGTGATTCCAAGTGCTGAGTGCTGAATGCTCTTCTATGCCGTATAAATTAGTTATTGCAGATGGTTTAGCACATAGACAGAGTTCCCACACCAGTGTTCCCACCATTCTCACAAATAACAAAATACACTGAGAACACACTGAGGCATCCATCCTGGAAAAGGTTAGGAATTGTGTAGTCTGGTGGAATCCTACATCTTTCAACATGGAAAGATCCCTAGAGATGAACTTGTCCCACAGGCTCCTTTCACAGATGAAGAGAGAGCATCAAAGAGGCTGGGCCTTGGTCAAGAGTGACACAGATGAGCAATGGGAATTTGGTGTTCTGATGTCCATTGCATTTTTGATTATGTTTCAAGCCTCACTTTCAAAAGTTTGTGTTATTAGCCATGCTTTTAACTCCTCTTAATTTAACAACTTTATTAATAGGCTGCTTTTGACCTGCATAAGTAGTCCTTAGTTTAATTTAGGCTGAAAGAAATCATTCATCATTGTAAAACCATTGACCTTCACAGCTGTGAGGACTGCAGGTTCCTGTGCTGTTCTGAAGGCAATGCTGAGCTTCGTGGGTAGCAGTAAGGGAAGGCCGGCTCCCTAGGCTGAGATGTGGAGAATGACTGTATTAGGCTGTTCTCGAATTGCTACAAATAAATGCCTGAGACTGGGTAATTTATAAGAAAAGTGGTTTAATTGGCTCACAGTTCTGCAGGCTGTACAGTGCCAGAATCTACTTCTGGGAAGGCCTCAGGAAGCTTTAACTCATGCAGGAAGGTGAAGCAGGAGCAGGCACTTCACATGGCAAAAGCAGGAGCGAGAGAGTGTGGGCAGGGAGGTGCCACACACTTTTAAACGACCAGATCTCATGTGAACTCAGACTGTGAGCTCACTTATCACTGAGGGGATGGCCCAAGCCATTCATGAGGAATCTGCCCCTGTGATCTAAACACCTCCCACCAGGACCACCTCCAGCTTTGGGAGATTACATTTCAACATGAGATTTGGGTGGGGGCAAATATCTAAATTCTATCAGACTGCATCTGCTTTGAGCACACTACTCCTCTTCCTACTGTTTCCCCTGAGCATCTACAATATTGCTGATTCCAAAGCTTCTTTGTCAATGTTGCAGAGCACATGAGTGCATCCCCAAGAAAACGACATCGATAAAGACACCCATTTTTTGTTATCCTTTGATGCTCAGCCAGATTTTTCCACCCTGGTGTAAATTTAATACCCCACTCACAGTGTTGACCTATACAGACTTAATCTGTGACCTGTCAGAAAGCTTGTTCAACTTGCATTGTCACAAATTATAACTTAAAGAAATGCAGTGCCAGAGTAAAAGTTGTTGGACTGCTCCATCCTTAGGAGAAGAGGGGAGTGGGGGAGGCAGATCCATGTGCAGTTCTCTACTTTGTGGAGAACTGAGTTTCACCCATTATCCTTGGGATCATTGGGCATTAAACATAATTGGTTCAAGATAAACAAAGGTGGTGATGCTGATTTTCTCTGTTGAAGGATGCGCCCCCATCCTCCCAAACTTTGTAACAGGAGTCGTACCCATCTCTGACCACCTGAACCCACACTAGACTAATCATTGTATTTCATCCCTTTGGCATCTCTCACAAATGAACATATAATCCAAATCTGAACAATAGGAAGTATTCTTTAGGATTTCTTTTGCTGGAATGAGCAAAATCACTTTTTTCCCCCATTTTCCTTGTGAGCTATAAACTATGACCTCAGAGCGGCCAGCATCTTTCCACACATAGAAAAGCCCCAAACAATGGCAAGAACAGAATGTGGAGTGCTAGGTTCCCTAGATTGCAGGCCTCAAAGCAGCCCTGGTTCCTGATATTCCTCCTTTGCAAGCCAAACTGATCATTTTCCAGAAAACCTCTTTGCTTAGCGTAGGTTGGATTCATGTAAAATAAAGAGTGCTGGCTATGCACTGAATTCCCAAGAGTTTGTTTTATAAACTAGGCTGTCAATTTTAAAATTTATGCTAAGAAATAACTGCCAAGAAGATTGGGGTATTACTGTAGGCTGGGTAGCTCATTCTCTTCCCTAGAGGACAGCCTATGTGGGAAACCAAATTATGATGAAAAGGTTGCTTCGCAAGTGCAATGTCGGGATAAAAGGAGTAGGACAATCTCAAGGGGGCACTTTTGACAATCCGTGGTGCTTTGGGGACATAATGCCTGCTAAGTAGGACAGAACAATTCTGCCAACTAAACAGGGCCCTGCTCCCTTGCGTAGTTCTTAGAGGCACACTGACAGTTCTTCTGTCCAACTTTCCTCTTTAATATTTCTCGTCAATCACCAAATGATGTGTACCTCTGGGACTTTGCCCATTGCCCTCACCATCCTCCCCCAACCCAAAGCACCTCACTGCCACCCAACTTTTCTCTTCTCTGACTGTAGAAATTCATCTTATCTTCTTGAACCTAACAGCCCACACCAACTCCTCTGCGAGGCATTCCTGTTTCTGCCCAAATCAGAGTTTAATTCCACCCTTTCCTGTGCTTCCCTTTCAGAGCAAATTGTGCCCATTTTGCAGTGTTACAAGCTGTGGATGTGTTATGTCTTCTAGAAAATGAGTTCTTTGAGGACAGGGATAATGAGTTCAATCTTACCCATTCTTTGTGACCCCCAGTTTCTAATGTAATTCATTGCAAATAGTAGATGCACAAAATACATGTTGAGTGTTGCATATGGTAACATAAATTAGTGAAGTTTATTATTTATTTCATTCATTACAGAGGGTTGGGTTGCTTAGGACTTTTTGAGTAACAAGTCACAGAAAATCAAACTAACTTGAAAGCGTTTGGGGTAAAGACCTCAGAAGCAGGCTTGAGCAACCAAATGACAGGGAGGGCAGGGACACAGTTGAGGCTTGAGAACAGCTGGTCCCAGGATTGTGGACATGCTGAGACTTCCTGTCTTTTGTCTCTGTATCACTCTCCAGTACCAAGGCAGACTGTCTTTCTCCTCACACGGGGGAATGTGGATGCTCTGACAGGCATAGAGTTTCACATCTCATCGTGTTTGCTACCCACAGGAACTGAAAAATTCCCCAGCTTGAGATGATAAATTCCTGTAGGACTAGAGGGGATATGAGGTAGATTGTGGCTTTGGCCCCAAATCTTTATTTCTCCCTGAATCTTTATTCTTTGATTTTCACTGTGAAAGTTCTCCCCAGAAGACAGGCTACATTTCCCACCTCTTGACTTTATGTTTGGTTGAAGTGAAGACAGCAGAGTATCCGGTCTCAAAGACTTCGTCTGCTTCTGCCTTGCTTTTGTTCTTTGTCTATTTCATGAGAAGGACATGTCCAGGCCAGCATTCAGGTCCCAGGATGGGATAAGAGGCCTGTGGAGCAGAGCCACTCAGCATAGTCCAGGCTGCAGATGCTGACCCCCAACTCACCTAATTGCATGAGCGAGCTCAGCCAAGACCATCAGAGCTGCACAGCTGAGTCCAGCTGCCATTC